CCGCTCTGTTCCCTTGCTGTTCTGTTGCACCCCCTAGTGTTTTGCTTCGGTGTGGCGGGATCAGATTGGGCACAATTCCCACACTGTGTCTCTGGTGTTGTCCCCTGTAGGGCTATGGGTCAGTGAGCGACGTTGTGTCTCATAGTGGGGCTGGCCATGTGGTCCTCTCTGTTGACTGGCTGATAAATTATAAATTATTACTTACATGGATGATATTCTTCATGTCATTCCATAACTCATCTGATCTGTCATTAGTGTTCACTCTGTCAAATCTGTTCATAAGATAGTATCTAAGTTCAGGTGGAATATACTCAAATCATATTTTGGCTTTTGTGGACTTGTTTCAATTTTCTTCACCTTCAGCTTGAACTTGGGCATGAGCAATTGATGGTCTCTTCCCAAGTTGGCCCCTGGCTTTGTTCTGACTGATGATATTGAACTTACTCCTTTTCTTTTGCCACAAATGTAGTCAATTTTATACCTTTGGATTCCATCCATGTATTCTTTGCATTTCTTTAGCTACAAGTCAGATATTAACTATGTATTAATGCATCCCATACTATATATATATATATGTATGTATATATATATATATACACACACACACTAATTTTATGATCTCTCAGGAATTTCATTTTAAAGTACATTTTAAAAGTATTCAAAATATGCAACCAGTGACATCAGAATCTAGCAGTAACAAGATGCTAACACCTTTTACTGATGTATTTGTAACACAACACTGCTCCTATGGCACGCTGATGGGATGAAAGGAGCCCTGGCCGTGCTGTGCATTAGGCGCTTGCTACCTGCACGGCTGGCAGTTTAAACCCACCAGCTGCTCTGGGGGAGACCAATGAATCGAGCTGCAAGTAAGGCTCTACAGGCTCGGAAACGCGGAGTCACATTAGACTCGATGGCAATGGGTTTTGGTAGGACAGGATGAAAACCACGGTGTCTTTTTCAGCCACTAGAGGGCTAGGCTGGACTGAAGGACATCTGTGGTTTCCTAAGCTGTTAATAGAAAAACCAGTTCATGTCAAGTTGATTCAGATGCATGGCACTCCCCGTGAGTCCGAGTAAGAGCATTCCCCACAGCGCTTTCCGCGTGTGGCTCCAGAACAAAGGCCCTGTTTTCCCCAGCGTTGTTACAGAAACGCCAGCCGACCTGAGGGTTGTGCTTTTTGGATTCAGCTTATTTCCCAGGATACTTATGCTTTCAGATATCCTAAGAAATCAAATTCAAATCCAAAATAGCTTAGTTTTATAATGTGAATTGCCTTCAAAGATTAATGTATAAAGGCATATTTGCCTAACCCAGAGTGGAAATGCCAACTGCTTGAATATGGCAGTCTTAGTGATAGCTAGCTTTTTTAATTATTAGAATTATTGAAAATTGTCATTCAGAAAACATCCACCTATATATTTTTATATGACTACAATTCTGTCCAGTATTTCAAGGGTTTTTTTTATGTACAAAATTTTGTGCTGTAATGGCATGTGATGTAATAAGAAAATGCATAAATCTAATATATGTGTAAGAGTATAAATATAAAGAGAAATTGATGCATTATGGTGCTGGCAAAGACTATTGAAAGCACCGTGGACTGCCACAAGAACAAACAAATCGGTCTTAGACAAAGCATAGCCGTAATGGGCCTTAGAAGCAAGGATGGTGAGCCTTTGTCGCTCGTACGTTGGACACACATTATCGGAGAGACTGGCCCCGGAAGTGGTAACATAGAAGATAAGCACAGAAGAGGAAGAACCCCAAGGAGATGGATTGATATGGTGACCCCATGCAGCACCTGGCTGAAACGTAGCCAACACGAACGTGGCATAGGCTGCTCGCATTTTGTCTCGTCGCGTGTCTGCTTGCCGTGTGTTGCAGCCGACTCCATGACACCTCACACAGAAACAACAATCTTTCCGAACATCCGACATTGAAAGAAGCCAAGAGTGAATGATGCAGAAACAGGGAAACGTGTCAAGGATTGTTTCCGATGTGTAGGCTAATTCACCTTCAAAGATGAAGAAATGTATGATGTGATTTTTTTTTAATTAGTGCACTCAGTGTTTTAAAACTTCCATAACAAGGGACAGTTGTCATCTAATCAATATCAATATAGTAAAATTAAAATGGCATACCACAGTGAGGCGCACACACCTTAGAGAGCCGCCATTTGAGATGACTAGGGCAGCATTTCACCAAGGACAGACTTTTGAAGGGTCCAGGAAGGAGGGTGGGGCAAATAGGAAGCACAGGGGGAAGCAGGGTAAGAGAGATTACATTGAAGGAACTTCGTGAATGAGATGAAACAATGTGTATGAATTACTGAATGCACAATGCATGATAGCTTTGTAAGCCTTAACCCAGTTCACAAAAGTTTTCAAAAATAATGTTACAATTGGCTACGAATGAAAAGCTTAAGGAAATTCAGGGTAAAAAGCTATGGGCTACTGAGGTAGAGCACTGACTGTTACTTACTACCACCTTTGTTACCTTTGGCTGGTTACTTAACATCTGAGGTTTTGTCTCCTCCATTTGTCAGAGATTGTTTAATCCCTCATGATGACATGAGGCGATCGATGTAAAGCACCCTTGGTGATGTCTGGAACATCGTGGGTGCACCATAAGTGTAAACTCTGTTGATTGCAGACAGTCTCACTGCCAACTCATCGTGTTCCCTAGAGGGCAGGGTAGAACTGCCGAGATTGTAACTATTTATGGGAGTAGAAAGCCCAGTCTTTGTCCCGCAGAGTAACTATTTATGGGAGTAGAAAGCCCAGTCTTTGTCCCGCAGAGTAACTATTTATGGAAGTAGAAAGCCCAGTGTTTGTCCCGCAGAGTGGTGGTTTCGAACTGCTGACCTTGAGGATCGCAGCCGACCATGTAACCACTACACCACCAGGGCTCCTCTTAATGTAAAGGTATGATGTTATAATTGGTCCTCATTCATTTTGGAGAGACTTTTTCTGAAAAGAATAAATTCAGCCTGTTACTATGACTGCATCTGTAAGTATTCAATGTTGTCGTTGTACCCTAACTACAAACAGAATATTTGAAAAAACAAAAATATTTCTTTAGTTATAATAAAAGTAGCCAACATTTATGATTGCTTTCTTTATGCCAGTACTAGTTTAAGTACTTTGGCATATTAACTCACTCCTCACCAACATTATATATTAGGTAATACCATTATTATCGCAACGTTAGTGGGATATGAAAATCGAGTGACAATTATTAAGTTTACATATAGATATTACCTGGTGGAGCTGGGCCCCCAAAGCAGACAGGTTGGCTCTGAAATCCAATTTTTACACTTGATCTTAGCCAAAAAGCTGAGAAGTGATGGAATCCAATTTTTAACCACTTAAATGATCAAAACATTTTTGGATGTATTTCCACGAATGCATTGTTTGCTAAGATTACTACATAGGAATAGTTGGAGAGTATCTTACTTTATCCTTAAAAATACATTCCCCTCCAAATGGATGCTGTTGTTAACATGATTGAAATAATTATTTTGGAATCTCAAATAGTTTTTGACAGAGTCAATGGTTTCAGTGTGAATGCATGGTTTTAGATGCTAAAGAAATGATAAAAGTAGATCTTTAAAAATGGCCTCATTACTATGTTTTCAGATTTTGAAAATAGCGCACCGTGGAACCGATACTGCGGTAACCACAGTTTGATGGTGCTCACAGAGCCCGGCTTGTGGGCTTTCTCTTGCCGGGTTGACGGAGGAGGCGTGCCTTGAGCACTGGCGGTTGGTTTGGGTTGGTGACTTGCCTGTGCTTGACTTTGTTCCAGCTGTGCTCCAGTGCTGCTCCCCTTCGACCCACATGGATGCTCTAAGTAGTTGTGTCTCGCCCACTGCCTCTTCCTACGCACACTGCAACTACTTCCAGGTGAGAGTCTTGGAACAATGGCCAGTGTTACTAACCCGACAGAATTTCGAAGTGGAAATTTTATGCTAATGACTTAGAAGTAAGTTATAGATTATGGGCTCGGTTTTCTCATTTCTGGAAAAGGAGCTGATAGGTGTCTATAAGGGTTTGTCCAGGCCTGAACTGGCCAATGCAGTAGCTATTAACCGCATGGTTATTTAAAGTTGAATTTGTCCAAATTAAATAAAACTCAAAACCAGTTCCTCGGTCATACTAACTACTTTTCAAGAGTCGCTATGACTACCAAATCGTACAGCACCAATATCATTTCTCTCAATGCTGGAAATTATTTTGAGCATGCTGTTAGAGGCTCTTCCTTGGTGAAATGAATGCTAATAAACTTGAAAAGTGCGCCGTCACCAGATGAGAGAGCCGCCAAGTGAGCGAGTCTGCCAATGTGGGAGTGTGTCAGGAAGCCCATTCTGACTCTTAGTGCCCCTACATATAGGATGAAGAGATGGTTAAACCTTTTTTTATTTTTTAAAGAGAAAAATTATGTAAAAATTGTCAAACTAAATAGTGGTCCCCATCAGCCTTAACCCTCATATTATAAATAGTAGTCTTAAAATCCCTTGTCATTAGTTATTAGTAAATGCTTTGATTTAAATATTTTATACTGCTATTTCTAGGATAAGATTAAATTCCGTGCTTTTTTTCATGTTATAATTCCTCGGAGATTAAAATTATGCAATTTGGATATCATCTAGCTGGGATCGCGTCAGTTCTTCAGGGAATTATTTATTTGTAACCTTAGAGTTCTCAAAAAGAACATTCCTTCGCTTGGAGAAAATCTGTATTGGGAGTCGTTTTCATTTTGGGTTTCTAGTGGAGATCAAAGTGTACAAATGCCCCCTGACTGAGGACACATTGCAGTTATGATGAACTGTTGGGACTGTGGATTAAGTGTTGGACCATTCACTGCAAAGTTGGTAGTTCAAACCCACTAGCTGCTCCAAAGGAAGAAAGCCTCTTTGCTCCTTTAAAGATTTATAGGATCAGAAACCCTATATGTAAGGGACACTCTGAGTCAGAAGAGTCAGTGTTGACTCAGTGACAGAGATTTGGTTTAGTTTGATGTGGACTTAACATCTGTCTATTCTTTTGGTACATCTTATCACCTTTAGTACTGTGTACTACATACAATGTTGCAGTGTATAATTTGATGATGTTATTCTCATGTCAATCCTCACGGTCAAAGATCGGATTTATACAGATACTGATAATAAAAGGCTACTACAATATGGGGCAAAGGAGCTTTCTGACTTAGATCAGAACCAACCATGGTTCTGATGGAGACAGGCCACCACCCCCAAGGAGGAAACTTTGTTTTCAGTTGATGGGTTGTGCACGTCAGGTGACAGTGGAGAGTTATTATGGCCAAGTTGGCACATTAGCCAGCCAGAGAGGAGAAGAACATAGACTCAGATGAAGGCGTTTCCTCAGACATTTTTAATGTCAGGCTATCACAAAGCATAAGGTAGCTCAAACTCTGCCGCTGAGTCCGTTCCAACTCATAGCGCGCTTACAGGGCAGGGTGGGGCTCCAAGGCTGTGAATCTTTACAAGAGTAAAAAGCCTCTTCTTTCTCCCATGGAGTGTCTGTCTGTCTGGTGGGCTCAAAAGACTGACCTCGCGGTTAGCATCCCAACCTGTAGTCCACTGTGCCACCAGGGCTCTGAATGCAAAACCAAGATCTGCTCTGCAAGCCTTAACCCGATTCACAAAGGTGCACCACCGGGGTACCCCAGCTCAGAGCGACTTGCTCCATGCGCGCCTAGCGGGAACAATGCGTACTAGGAAAGCTCTGCCCCACCGAAGCACACGTCCGTTTTGGGGGGGGTTGTACCCCCTTGTAAAGTACTAAAATAGGGGGTGGATCTTTGAGTTACCATTCTGAAAATAAATGCAATGAGCTCAGTTGGACTGTGAGTGAGTAGGTGAATGGTTAGTGTAGTGTAATGGTGAAGAGCAGTCTGGCAAAGTTAGATTTGAAACCTGACTCTGCCAGTTGATTTCAGTGTAACTTTGGGAAACTTGTAAAACTTCTCTGAACCTCAGTTTCATGATTTGGAAATGGAGAGCATCGCATTCCACTGGGCTCTAGTGAGAGTTAAATCATAGCCCTTCACACGTCCTTGACACATAGTAAAAGCTCAATCGTGTGTCAAGTGTGGGGGTACCTTGGTGCTGGCACCAGTTGAGGCTGCCTTCTCTGGCCTCTGGATGGCCTCGACACATCTTTGCTGTCCTTTTGGCAACCCCGATACGTTTTTCTTTCATCAAAACTCTCCTGTGCTTGTATAACCTGAGATAATAAAAATTTATTACCTAGTCTGTGCAAAGCTCTGCATTTGGCACCCAAAACTCATCACGTATTTTATTTAATCATGATTCTTCTGTGTTTTATGTTCACAGTTTGAGATCACTCATCAATAAACATTTATTGAATGCCCACTCTGCAAAACACTATGCATAGAGACTCACGTGGATCTAAATCTACAAATGACAGCCGTCTTAATCTATCCTCTTATTATTAAAAGTACACAATTGCAGGAGCCACAGGACATCCAATAGTCCATCCATTTTTTCCAGATCATTTGGGACTCAATATCAAAACCTCCCCCTGAATCTGTAGAAGGATTGGCAGACTTGTGAACATCCTGTATTTGAAATTTTCTGACTGATGCTCACATACCCAAGACAGTATATGACATCTGCAAGTCATGGCTTTTTATCTATCAACCTTTATGAAGAATTTGGTATATAAATATTCTTTTTAAAAAGGTTTTAATGTGATTTTGGTGAGAGTTTATATATCTGGTCATCGTTTTTGGATTTTACGACGTTATTGATATATCAATGCTCCCATTAGCTTGCCCTGCACCCACTTTTTCTCCCTCCCCCTTTGTTGGGTCCTATCTAACCTGTCTACCCTCGGCCCTGTTACTTCACATCCTCTCCTGTTCCCTCCCATCCCTGGTAACCATCTAAGTCTTTCTCCTGGTATGATAACCTGTATCTTAGTTTTTAAAATGTAGCAGGGGTTTCGTATAATATTTATCCTTTTGTGATTGACTAACTTCACTCAATATAATGACCTCCAAATCCATCCATATCATGAGGTGTCTCACAGTTTCATCATCATTATTTAGTGACTGATGCATAGTATTCCCTTGTGCGTGTGTATTAATGTTTATCCTTTTTTCACTGATGGGCATTTTGATTGCTTTCATCTTCTTGCTACTGGCATGTAAACATTCTTATCAGCAAATAGGTATTTGAGTACCACAGCTTTGTGGTTTTGTATACTTCTAAGAAGTATTGGTCCATTCCAATATTAAACTTAGCATAGTGGTTGGCATGTAATAGTTGCTAAGTAGATGTTAACAATAAAAAAATAGATTGGCATTCAGGTTGATTGTTGTTTTTTTTTAAGTGGGCTTTAAGTTTAATCTATTTAAGTTTAGAATTCTTCAGCCTAAACATTGTTACTTTGTGCTTTAATCTCATATTTGATTTTCTATCCAAACAGTCCTATTTTCTCTTTTCCCAGAATCCTCCAATGCAATCCTCCTATCCAGTTGAATTTCTGCCTTCTAACTGGTCTTGCAGTGCTACTGATGAAAATAAAAAGACAGAAGTAAACCTAGAGGCTGTCTTTCAGATAGTAGATGAGTTGCATTCCTCCCCTAAGTTGGAGATGGTAAAGGTGGAGCCCGTTGAGAACCAGTGTCCCACGTCTCAGTCTAACAGAGGCCAGCACCTCCTAGCTAACTCAAACAGCAGCCACCCGTCTTCTGCAAGTCAGGCCAGCCAGCTGGAGCCACTTACTCCTGTCGGCTCAGATATTACGTCGTTTGTGGTCGGAACAGAACAAGCAATTACCTGCTCTCTGCCACAGTCACCTGAGTATATCTATACCATCCACACAGCTCAGCCTGTTGAAAACACCACAGTGCAGGAGTCTGCAGCCATCCAGCAAGCCCATGTCAAACTGAAAGATCAACTAAGTCATCACACCTCTCCATCTTCAGTAGTATTTGTGCAAGAAGGTCTACCATTCAGCACACACCAGGTAAGGGGACAAAGAAACAATCGAATAAGGCTAAAAGTAGTTCATCCTTCTTGCTAAAGACTTTGAGCAACCAGTTCATCTAGATTTTGTCGGTGCCTCACACCAGCTCACCGTGCTTTCCGGATGGATCATGTCTTAGTGGTTATGCACAAGAGGTTCAGGAAGGTGTCCCTGAATCCCTAGGCATCCGCTCTCTGGGTTAAGGTCTGACTGACTTATTTTCATGTTAAAAGCATCTGCCTTCTTGTTTGGGTGGATTTAAGTGAACCTGACTGATATCTACTATCCAGAAGGGGAGAGAGATATCAGTTGTGACCTGAAAGTCAGGAGATGGCTTTTCGTAGCTTCTCTTTTAACATATCAATGAACTCTAATATAATCTGTAAACATGCTGTAGAATTTTCTTACCAACAGCAAATTCCTGAAACAGCACTCTGAGTGTAGTTTGAGAAAGTAGAAGCTAATTCTTTTATTACTGCTGGACTCTGACCAGAAAAAGAATCAATTTTTATTAAAAACAGTTAGTAAAAGTGATTCATCAGAAAGTACATCCAAATTAAAAACATTTTTTGTGAACTCAGCAACTAAGTGATTTTTTCCCCCTACTTTTATTTTTTTCTTGCTTTTAGGCCTCTCCCGTCCCCTTGTTCAATTTGGATTGGTTGGTTTTTTTTTTTGCTAACAGGACTGAAAATCTATTCTGCCTTTGAGATTTCCAGTGTAGGTTTTGCAGGCATTTTTCGGTCTAATTTTAGATTCGAATGTTTCAAGGTTTCCCACCGTGTTTTTTGAGGCCTAGTATTAAGACCCCGTATGTGATGTGTTAAGATATGGTGTAAAGTTGAAGATATGCTTGTGGAAAGAACCCCTGATTTGTCTTCACTCATTCAGAGTTACACCCAAGGGTTAGAGTTCATACTTTTAAAGGATACTACTTCTGCATGTTTTTATTTCCTTTCATAAATTTTTTTTTTTGACACTACAATTCTCGAAAGCTGTTTTGGGGTTCATTTCATTATATGGGGGGTTTGCAATTAAATTCTTAAGGACAAAATATTCTGTAATAATGTTTGTCACCTTGACCATTGACTCGGGATTTGTCATTTCAAAGAAAACTAGCCTGAAAGCTTCAAGAAAGGAACTCCTGGATCCCAAGTCGGGTGGATCCGGTTGTAAAGGGCCAAGAGGATTCATCATTTTGAGGCCCTCGTTAAGCCCCAGGGTTTGAAGTTAGGAGAGTAGAGTGCCTCTGCTCCATTGACACTGACCACAGGGCCTTTTGTCTGGTGCTTCATTCACACTGACAAGAGGGAGAGGCTGAAGGGAAGGGTGGCAGGGTGGAGAGTGAGAACCAGTTATAAGCAAAACACTGTGGTAAAACAAAAAGTGAATGAAAAGTACAGCTCACTAGCTGCATGGAACATCTCTGATCAGAAGGAAATGTTTTAGACCCACATACATTTCAGTGGTTTGTATGTAGGGAAATGTACATCTACTATCAAATATGCAGGTAACGCAATAGAATCAAAGGTAGTAGCATTCATAAGGATGGTAAACCATACAAGCACGTGTGCTGAGGTTCTATGTAGAAATTCTCTGATGAAGTATCTTTTGAAAGATTATTTTGGCGAAATCTGAGAATAATGAATGGGTTTAATGTTTTAGGTGGATGCCAGTATAAAATGCCAGACCAACCCCTCAGAAAATATCTTGCCTTCAGAACAGATGGGATTCCTTATATCAGATATGGGGTCTGCTAGCAAACCTAGTAAAGACGCAAGTTTATCCACTCCAGCCAGATGCAGAGAGCGAAGAAGCAACTCACAGCCAGGAAAGTCCCCTGGTAAGGATTATTCTCCTGTAGACGGCTGTTCCAAGTAGAGCCCAGGTGTAGACGTAATGTCGGAACGAGAATTTATCTGCGTCTTCATTTATTATACCCCGTTGTCTTAAACCCATCTCATGACTATTTTACTGAACTATCATTTAAACTATTTTTTCTCTCTTATCCTTTTAAAGTAGGCTATGGTTGCATATATGAGAATTCAAACTCTCGAAAAGGTAGTTAAGACTAAGAAAAGGCAAAGGAATTAGGGTTATTTTAAATTGGAGAAAGGCGTTCTGGTGGCATTGTGGTTACACATTGTACTACTACGCAAGGTTGGCAGTTCAAAACCACCAGCCACTCCAAGGCAGAAAGAGCATGCTCTCTACGCCGTGAAGAGTTCCTGTCTCAGAACCTACAGGGCAGTTCTCCCCGGTCCAGTGGGGCCACAATGGTCAGGAATTGACTGGGTGGCAGTGAGTGAGTTGGAGAGGGAATGATAAAGGGTGATTTACTGTCTTCAGATGCCAAAAACGTTGTAATTATGGATATACGTGTTCTCTTGCCAACATACCTCAGGACAAGAGGGGATGAGCTTAAATTCTGGCAAGGGAAAATTGGGATAGACATTAAAGACATTATCCTGAATACTACACTATAAAGCTGTTGGGAAGTCTGACTCTGTATCAGTGGAGTTATTTTCGTACGGTTTGTGAGAGCCAGTGGCATGGAAAAAAAGTGCTTCTTTTAGGCACATACAGATGTGGTTCTACTCCCTGGAAATGGGACAAAATTGTGTTGTTTGCTTTTGTTTTGTTCTTTAAAGAAAATAGTGAAATAAAATAAAGCTTTTTTTGAAATGATCCAAAGCAACAAAATCTTCAGTGGACAACATTAATGTCCTCAAGTTGCATGCATAGATCAGCTATTATATACAAGGTAGGCAGAATGATTCAGGCCAACCATTGTTTGTACTAAAGCTGTATTGTGTTTTTGGTGAAAGTGTACATAGCCAATTCATTTTCCACTGGACACTTGCCATTCGTGCTCAGTGGCGTTGGGCACGTTTTCACAGTGTCACCGTTCTCTTTAGCTGGTTGCTGCATCATCAGTACCCTACTTTCCCTGCCCCTTCACTATCTTGTCTTTGCTTTCCAGTAAAGGTTGACCGTTTAGTCTCATGCAGATGGTCTTCTTCGAGTACAGCACGTATCTAAGGGCAATATCCTGTACTGCGTGATTTCACTAAAAGAAGAACTCACAGAGATTTGGTCCAAGGTTTAGAGCATCTTGCGGTGATAGTCTCAGGGAGTTCACTTTTTAGCGTGATTAAGTTGGGAGTTTACAGAGCAAACTGGTTTTCCATTCCACAGTTGGTACACATTTTGTTTCATGACTGATTGCAGCCCCCACCACGTGGCAGCACTCGCTCCATTTCTTCCGTGTGTTTACCATTTTCACTCATCCCTCCCTCTTTATCCTTTCCTGCCTTCTCAGCATCATCCCTGGGTAAGTGCTGCTCATTTGTATTATGTTAAATTTTGGTGCATATCCCCCCCCACTCTATCCAGGGTCTCTGTTGTCATCCCTCAGACTGATCGGGAGGAGGGAAGTGTTGACATGTACAGAGTATTCCTATCTATATATGTCCTTTTGCTTTCTTGCCGTCGTGTTAAGAATTTGATTTTTGGTTCCTTTTCTCCCACTATAGTGGGTCATCTGTTGTGACCCCACATGCAACCATTTTAGCCTACGAAAACCTGAAAGATGTTGAGGCTGCCTGGGACCATTGCTCCCCCAAAGTAAACTCATTGTGCTGTGTTCAAAATGCTCTCTGGGCTCATGGGTTAAACTATCTTGATCACTGATCTTATTCACTAGGCTTATATTGTGTCTTTCTGCTGATTTTGTATGATCTAAAGCGATAACCAAAGATAAAGATTTCTCACACGGTTGATATGTAGAGAAAGCAATAGCATAGTATGAAGACAATCTCAGATGAGAAATAGTAGGAACTGTGTATCCATTTTTATGCCATACAACAAGCTTTTGTTTAAAGCAATAGTGTGATCGTTTTAAGATCAGGAAATGGGCTCGTAAAGGATACCTAATATCTTCATGGTCACACATGGATGTAGCGAATAGTCTACTCTAGGTTGCCTGAGCACCTCTTGTTTTCTTTTAATATTTAATTTCGCAAGTAGATAAATATTCTCCTTGTAATAACAATCCATTAGGCTAGAATTTCCCTTGACCACTACCTCTCTGTACTGTCTCCCTTACCTCTTCCCTAAAGATAGCTACATGTTCTCTCTGCATCATGGTTTTGGCACTGGCAAGTATTTTGGAATAAATACACAGGTTTTAAGGGAATTACTCTGGAGGACCCAGTCTGCGCTATGTATGCTTGCAAGTACTTGTCCCATGCGTTTGTGATTGAATCTGGACATGCTAGACAGTGGAACCACTGCAACAAGAGAAGCTACTGCGAATTCTGCAGGAGGCGCACCTCTGATGACGGCATACATGAAGCACCTCCAAAGGCATCAGTTGCGTGTAGGTGCCCTTGAGTCAGCACCGACCCCAACTACCCTGCAGGAACAGAATGAAACTCTGCCTGATCCTGTACCGTCTCTTGTACCCCATCGATCGGTGTTGAAGCCCACTGTTGCAACCACCATGTCCATCGATCTCCTTAACGGTCTTCTTTCTGGCTGACCTTCTGCTTTACCAAGCATGGTGCCCTTTGCCAGGGACTGGTCTTCCTTGGTAGCATGCCCACAGTATGTGAGGTGATGTCTTACCATCCTGGCTTCTCAGGAACATTCTAGCTGTCCTTTCTGAGAACATTCTGCTGTACTACGTCAAGGACACAGAGGCCAAGTTACTTCCGGAGAGCTTGCAGAGGGAAAGCATGCTGGGACTCAGAGCTCCTGCTTGGCAGGCAGAGGTGAGGCAGCGTTTGGAAAAGGCATATGCAGTGCAGTTAACATGCATACGCTCCTGCCTTTCCCAGAATGTTGGAAGTGAGAATTTGGAATTTCTTTCTTTTTTTTTCCTCTTCAAGATAAATTCAAAAGATTGATCGCATCAAGTGCTGCAGAGAAATAAATCAAAATAATACATGAATAACTTTTTAAATTTTCCACAAATTTATCATGGTATCTGTTCAACTGATCTAAGATATAAAGTCTGATCAATTTAAACTTCAATAACAACACAGCCCCAGAATAAGAATTTGGAATTTCTTCTTTAAGGAAATTAAACGATAACATTTAAGACTGGCAAACACCTGACTCAGCAGTGACAAAGCGAGACCAGGCACCACAAGCCAGCCCCTGCTCCCTCTGGTGGACAGAGTACTGGCAGCCCGGGACGGGCGGCAGAAGAGCAGAGACTTTTCTTCTGGAGAACCGGGAGGTGGCCTCGGAGAAGATCCTCACGTTAGCCTTTGGGATTTCTCCAGAGAAAATTGGTGGTGCACAAACATTTGATCATCATTACGCTAAACCCAACAGCTGACAAATCCTGTGTATGTTACAGTCTCCAACAGTTTTGGAAGGCTATGTCCTTACATTTAGAAGCATCGCTGAGGAATACACAGAAGGAGGGACCCAGCTGAAAACAGAGACTTAGTGTGAGAAAGGAAGTAACTTCAAAATCAACTCTTCCATTGAGTATGCTCAGCTATGGGGAGACATTGTATCCATATAAAAGAACAAGAAGTTTAGAAAAGCAACAATTATAGACTAAAAAGGAGCCCTTTGATATAAAAAAAATGATGTGAAGGTAAAGTTAAGTAACATCTCACAAATACAGAAAAAGACAACAATATAAAAAAATAGGAAAGGAAAACTATAGGGAGTTTAGCCCAGGACATCCTATAATATACCTGGCTGAAGAAAATACAGGGAAAGTGAAAAGGGAAGTAAGACTTTTATTTTTTAAATGAGAAGGAAACTTGCATTTCTTATCCTGGCAGACTTGATAATTGAGACCAATTTTCCCACTGAAAATAACAGAAAAGGAGAAACTATAAAAATAATGGTCTTCAAAAAAAAAAAAGGTCTTCAAAAGCTAATCAGAGTGAAGAATTACTAGGCCGAGTACCAGGAAAGAATGAAAATCTATACTGGGCATTTCTACTCTCTACCCTATAGCATCATTATGAGTCACAATGAACTCGGCAGCAATGAGTTTTCTCTGTCAAGGACCTGAAAGGCTGCAACCCAGGAGTTAGGATGAACTGGGGCAAAGCCAGCCTTTGTGCAGACTGCTGCCAGAATAGCCCCAAGCCTGGAACTGGATTAAAGTGATCCCTAATTTTTAGTAGCCTCAGGTACTAGATACACACAATTCTTTGAGGAGTATAGTAATATGCTAAGCCTCAAATTAGTTTTACAAGGAATTTATCAAGTACAGGGCTAGCACATCGTCAAAATAACCAGTTACACGAGGGAAGAAACACCACTGACAGCCAGTACGCACAACGAAGGAGGCTCAAACGTCTGGTTTTCAAGCAGACTGCACACCTGCGGTAATCAAAGCAGCCTGGTGCTGGTACAGTGACGGAAACAGACCAGTGGACTGCAACTGAGGGCCCAGAAATAAACACTCACATCTCGGGGCAACTGATTTTCGACAAGGGTTCTCAGTCCATTTGATGGGGCACAAAAAGCCTCGCTAATAATACATGAGACTGGGAAGGTTTGATTTCCACATGCAGGAAAATGAAACAAGGTGGAAACTACTCAAATGCCCATCAGTGGACGAGTGGATAAACAAGATGCAAAACACAGGTACAGTGGAATGCTACTCAGCCAGTGAACAAAATAAAGCTTTGATACATATCACCATGTGGATGGAGCTTGAAGACATCATGGTGAGTGAAATACGTTGATCATGACAAGGACAACTGTTACATGACTTCACTTCTATGAAAAGACTTGAGCAGGAACATGGTGGAGACCGGAGTTTACTAGTGGTTACCAGGGGAGCAGGGAGGGGAACGCTGTCCT